AAAATTAGATGCTTAAAAACAGCTCTCCTGAATTTCAGATAGCATTACTCAAAATTTTTAACTTGATTTTGAATTCAGGCATTTTTCCAGAGGTCTGGAACACATGACTCATCTCTCCTGTCTTTAAAAGTGGAGACAAAACAGATCCTAATAACTACAGAGGGATCTGTGTAACCAGTAATTTGGGAAAAGTATTTTGCTCAATAATTAACTCTCGGATTTCATCTTTCTTAAAGCAGCACAATGTCATCAGCAAATCTCAAATTGGCTTCCTCCCTAAACATCGAACCACTGACCAATGACCATCTTCACACACTACACACGTTAATAAATGAACATGTACACCAAAAGAAAGATGGAAAAATATTTGCATGCTTCATAGATTTTAAGAAGGCATTTGACTCCATTTGGTATAATGGATTGTTTTATAAAATCATTAAAAGTGGCATAGGCGGTAGAATATATGACTTAATTAAAAACATGTATAACCAAAATAAATGTGCAGTAAAAATTGGACAGCAAAGGACAGACTATTTTTCTCAACAGCGAGGAGTGAGACGGGGCTGCTGCCTCAACCCGACTTTATTTAACATATATATCAATGAACTGGCAGATCTACTGGACCAATCAAACAGTCCAGGACTACAATTGTCCGACACAGAAGTAAAATATTTACTGTATGCGGACGACTTGCTAATTTTATCTAAAACACCAGAAGGTCTCCAGAACAACCTTAACATTTTAACTAAATACTGCCACGATTGGGCCTTAGACGTCAACATCCCAAAAACTAAGATTATGATATTTCAGAAAAAAAACAGAAAGCTAGAACATAAACATTTATTTACTTTAAACAACACCACACTTCAACATGCTTTACATTATAATTATCTTGGTCTGGTTTTAACTCCCACTGGAAATGTCAAATTGGCAATTAAACCATTACTTACAAAAGCCCGCAGGGCACTGCATGCCATACGAATGAAATTATTCAAAATAAACATCCCCATCAGAATTTGGACAAAGATATTTGATAGTGTCATACTGCCTATTGCTCTGTATGGAAGCGAGATCTGGGGTCCAGCGAGTAACTACAGTCATAAGGACTGGCACAAACAGCCTTTAGAAGTTCTGCATGTAGAGTTCTGCAGAAGCATCCTTCATGTGCACAGAAACACACCTAATAACGCCTGCAGAGCCGAGTTAGGCCGGC